TATATATATATATATATATGTAAATTAAATTGGTTTATATACTTTTAATGCAGTGACATGATATACGGGAATAATATAAATAACATATATATAATTGCACATGATTAACATATATAAAGCAAGAATTGTAAATTTTTCTGATTTGAGTATATAAATTTGATAAATAATTATACAGAATTTTGTCAGAGTAATAAAACTTTTACATGTGCGGTTGTTTTCATAAAATTTATAAATCATGTGAACGAATCTGATATAAGATTTATTCGTCTTCCTTGCAATCTCCAGAAATTTTCGCACTTGAAATGAGAGGATGTATATTCGTACGTTAGAGAGAAAGAAAACGCAGAATTCGAGTGGAGGAAATGCAAGCAAAATGAACAGATCTATGCATCTGTACCATGTATATATGTGATAGATGTGCAATATATATATATATATATATATGTATAAATAGATAATTATGTACATATATATTAAAATTGAGATTATAACATAAATTCATACAAAAAAGAAGAAGAACACGGGATCCGAAAATAGAGGTTATAACGTTTACAATCTATTTATTATTCAACTCTAATGTGACTGTATTTCTCTACCCGTTTCCACTTTCAATAAGATTAAACGCTCGAATGATGACAGATGAGCGGAATTTTCGTTCGTCATACTACGAAAAGGTATGTATATTCAAATTATAAATCTATATAATTTTCAAATTGAAGTAAAAAACACTACCACTTGTAAGAGAGTTGCTCCACACATTACATTGCTATATAAAAAATATTCGTAGTATTTTAATATTATTTTTCTAAACGGCAGGTTGGCTTTCGTAGCGTTGAAGAGAAAAAGTCTTTGGAGATATTATTGAAAGAGCGCCCGTTTGATAAGACAAAATTAAAACAATTTTGTTTAAGATTCACTGTACCTGTTATGTATAGAAACTTCTTGTGGAAAGTGTTGCTCGATGTTCTACCTGTTTATGTAGAAAGCCATGAATTTATAATGGCTCAACGTACTGTGGAATTTCAAGATTTACAGAGAGCATTAAAAATTGCAAAAATCATAGATGATTATACAAAACCTCATCTGGTATTCTTAGCAATGTGGTTGTTACGTACGAGAAGAGCAAAAGTTGATATAACTGCTCAGTTGGAATCACCATTACACAGGTTTATATACTGTACTATTTAATATTATGTATATTATATATAAATGTATGTTGCCACATTTCAATTTAAAAGAATTGTTTTATTAGAAGTTTCAAGAGCAATCACAAATTTTTTTTGTTTAATAGTTTTACAAGTGTTAAAAAATATTTTGATTCTATAAAGTTATAGATACTTTATATAATATTGACATTAGGTAGTCGAACAATATATTATAATAATATTTTATACATTACAGAGCAATGAGTAAAATGGCCGAGACACTATGGCATATGATTGATATTGAATCGGAACAAGAGAAATTAGTGGATATGTATTGGATATTATCTGGACTTTTTATACAGGTTGAAAAGTTGCAAAAAGAAGTGGGAAGATTACAAGAGTGTACATACTCTTTGTTGGAAAGAGAGGATATAGAATTATATAAGCATCTTGTTAAGATTGATGCACTTTATAATCTTCCATATGATACATGGTTTTATTCATGTTTTGCTGGTGTAATATGCAATGGATCTATTGCTAAGTATATATATATTATAAATGATCACATTATGCAATTATCTGCAATGTTATTACTTAATTTTAATATTGGCAATATAGCGCACGATGTATTAAAATATTTATTTATTATAGGATATGGGATAAAATAACAGTCGGCGCGTATCGAATTTTAGTGTTTGTTGCTGTGGTTACATTAACCACCTTAAGACGGCTACTCTTAAGATGTGAAAGTATAGATAATGTATTGGATACTATTAATAATGTAAGATCACCAAAAATTTTTTACAATATCGTTTAATAAAACATGAGACACATGCATATATTTTCTCAGAGATTCCTGATTTTTAGATAACAGAAGAAACGTCAGAGATGATAGTCAATAAAGCAATTGAATCAATGCAACAAAGTGGAACAACTCAACAAGTCGATATGTATTTCACAAAACACAGTTAAAAAATGTTTTATACTATAATAATATAAAAATACATTGTGTGATTAATATATATATATATATTGAACTGTATACACAACACTTACTATTGATGTCAGGTATGTTTCTAATTTTCTTTCCCCCAAACTATATATGAATACAAAAAATGGAAATTTCTATGATTTTTATTATTAATTGATATTAAAGTGAAATTTGACTTTGAAATTATATTATTCGAACATACACAATGTCTCAAATTACAATTCCAGTTTATGTTCAATTTATTATTAGTTGATTGTTCCATATTCTCTGTTTTAAAAATATAAGTTTTTAGATGATATCCTCATTTATCTTAAAAATAATTTTTTATTAATGCATTCATCGTACATTATACATATACAATTACTTAACTCATGATAGAGTCAAGACTTATTCTAAACTTTATTCATCCTTAACATTATATAATTTTCCTGCACTCTGCTTTGTATTTATAATACAATTGTATATATTTATTTCAGCATATAAGAGCGATTTTATAAGTAATTCTAAGGAAATTGAAATTATAGAATTGTAGTTGCACTGTTTGCATCTGTTCACGATTTCTACTTCATTCTGTAATATTTTACCGACAACTAGACTCTAGAAAACGCATGTAATTTTGCATTTACATTTGATCGTAAGAACCATAGTACTTTTATCATATCGATGGAAACTTTAATTCTAGTAAATCTTTTTCTTTTTTAATCTAACACATGTACATAAATGAGAAGTTGATATTCAATATGTATTTATAAATACATATTTATTAAATTTTTATATCCACAAAATATCGTATTAATATCGTCCAATAAATATAATATGCATATAATAAAAATATAATTGTAAACTAAATATATCTTTAGATATTTCCAAGAAATACATAATTACGAAAAAGTGCAATATTTATGAAAAAAAAAAAAGGAAATTGTTGAAGGACTCTGAATAGGAGTGCGTTTTATACATTATACACAAACGTCTATAGAAATTATTGTTATTTTTAGATTAATTTGTGTCTGCAATATGTATCGTTAATCCCTCTTTGGCTTTAATAAAGACTAATCGATTTCATAATAACTTTAAGATATCAATTCAGCAATTAAAAAATTACTGTCATTTCCTACAAATTACTTTTAAATTCGATTTTTCGTGTAAATATATTATTAATGATAATAATATAAATATTAAACTGCATAGTTTAAATGATCTAAATTATAAATCAATGCCACTGTGACAAAATAGATATACTTTTCCTAAAAGATTTTGATATTCTTCTATAAAATAGAAGCAAAGTATATACAAAGCTTTATTCTATCATAAAATTTTTTTCTTTTCATTTTATAACATCAATGACTCCGATTATAACACGCATAAATTTAAGAATACTTCTGATTTTTAATTAATTATTAATAATACAATTTCGCGCGTTAGTCATAATATTGACGTCTACCATTGCCTTTGAATGACAAACTATGTATAATCTGCTGCTATCATTGAGGCCTTTCTCGTTATCTGTGTTCATAGTATCTATCTATTAAAATAAATAGTTTGTGCAAAACAAGACTGATCACATGATCTACGAATATTAGCTAAATTATATTGATGATGATGTACAATAAGTAATAATTATATTGTATCTATATAAAAAGAAATACGATCCACAGAATTTTAATCTTTTTTGATGTATTATTATGTATTGTGTGTAAAAATTATGCTTATAAGGAATGTGTGTAAAATCTATTTCTACTACTGTATAAACATATATAGATGCAAAAGATACATTGTGGTTTCCATCAAGTGCTTATTAGCATGTAATGTAAAAAGTGGTAACATAAATCAGAAATATAAGAGAAAAAGATACAGAAATATAGGATCAAAGTGTGTAAAGAATCAATTGTTTTTTAAGTTATATAAGAGCCTAATAAAAAATACTGATTACAACTTTCATTCGTGTGCCATTTTGTGCTGTTGGCAAGTTGCATAAACTAGGAGTCACTGATACTTTGCATAAAAGCTATCATATCTGTCGTTTAAAAATCGACGCAAGAATCTTAAAAAGGAAGAGCTAATTTAACACACATTTCGTAACATAACATGCTTGTATTACGATTATACTCGACTTTGAGATCAACCCACGTATCATCGCACAAGCACTGCTTGTGGGAAATTTGTCACAACCTAAACATTAAGTTCCATCAATAGTCCTAAAATCAATTTTATAGAGTTATTGCCTTAAACAAATAGTATAATACAATATAGACAATTCTATTACAATCTCCATTCGAGTCAGATGCACTTCATACAGCGATGACTTTTCTCGCTTGATTAAAGCTCAAGTTTTATCGCTTATCTATAACATTTTCATCGTATGCTATGGCTTGTTTTACTTTTTTTTTCAATAGACACTATAGCGCGGCAGAATTACAATTGTCGACTAGTGGCGATAACGGACCGATCTTTCCTCTTCCACTTCCCGCTCGGTCTGCCTCGTACTGAACATCTAAAGATAAACCTAAAATACAAAATATTTTAAAGTTTACATTGCATAATATACGGGTATAGAAGAATATTAAATTTTTTTATATGCTACTTGCGTATACATATAAGAATTTTCATAAGACACAAGAGATATCTCACATACAAATCTCAATGTGCTATTATTATGTTTAATTAAACAAAATTGCAATACAATTGTTGTAATACAATTTTCGATGAATCCCGTCACCATAAATATATTTGGCATATTTGACAACCTTTAACGTACATTTCTGATATGCGTATTTACCGGAGGGCCTCCGGGATGTGGATGGATGATGCAACGATCCTGTTGACATGGTATTTGATTCGGGAATAAACGCAGCTACCAACAGCGCGCAGATCACAAGTAATGCACCAAACACGAACGGCGGTCCTGGTACAAGCTGCAAGCGTCATTTAATCAATGTTCTTTGTTTATTTAAACAATATTTATACATAAATAATTTTTTCTTTCAATATAAATAAGTTTAATACAACATTGTATATACATGATGCACACACGTATATGAAAGACTCATAAGAAAACAAGATTAAAAGAAATTATGCTTACCTGTAGATTGATATTGATATTGGTATTGGTATTGGTATTGGTATTGGTATTGGTATTGGTATTGGTATTGGTATTGGTATTGGTATTGGTATTGGTATTGGTATTGGTATTGGTATTGGTATTGGTATTGGTATTGGTATTGGTATTGGTATTGGTATTGGTATTGGTATTGGTATTGGTATTGGTATTGGTATTGGTATTGGTATTGGTATTGGTATTGGTATTGGTATTGGTATTGATATAATATACATACCTGAGGCATTATATCAAGATGCGTATTAGTTCCCGTCCTGTTGTTCTCATCCACAAATGATGGTTTCAAGGGAAGATTAGGCGTGTCGTCGTTAAGATCAACGTGAAAAAGGTAGAATATAACACCAAACATAGCAGGGCCAAGTCCATTGCAGAGACCACGCATCCCTGTTACCATGCCTTGTACTAATCCTTGCTTATCAGCATCGGAATGCATGGATACAAACGCGGAAATTGCGGGGTATGTTATGCTTGATACAGAAGCAAGTACTCCAGCAGCCCACATCATCCTTGAAATAATTAATATTCAATAAGCTATGACAAATATGCTTATCCAAATATATTTTAATGAAAGAGATGTGAATATTGAACAAGAATAGTAGACATACAATTTTGATGTATACTGTGTACTCAAAACATAGAAAATTACATTGTCATTGTCTCAACTACCTAACCAATTATATTAATTATTGTGTAATATATTATATTGCTAAATATAAAAATAAATATAATTACCATGTTTGCGAGCCGAATCCATACCACATGAGTTGTAGCATCTCAAATAACAGACCAAGCATTATAGTATGTTTACTACCAAGTGTTCTCATCAAGGGTCCTAATACAAGTTGTGCTCCCACACTCAAGATGCCCACCACAGCAATAAATATAGCCACCATGAAACCGGAGAAGCCCATAGCCAGTTTTAAATAAACAAATATACAACTATACTGTCCTGCTTCAGGAAGATAGCTCAGGAACACAGTAACACACAGCATTAGAATAGTATGATCTTTTCCAACCTGTCGAGCAAATATCTATATCTATCAAATATCTATATTTATATACTTATATCTTTTTATTATATATTTATATTGTATGTATTACAATCTTATTTTTGGAAATTATACATTGTGTAATGAGTGTTATATGTACCTGCTGATAGATTTTATAAAACATACAACATATATAATACATGCTTAACAAAAGTTTTTACCTTTCCAAGAGCAGCAAATGGATCAGCTTGCTCCCATGATATAGGTGCTGGTGGACGTGCTTTCTCAGGCAAACTTTCAGGTACAGCCACTAATATGAAAAACACATCCAAGACTGCAATAGCAGTTGCTAATGCTACGGCAAGATTTTCTCCATATGTTGTCATGGTATAAGCACCCAAAGCTGGACTTATTACCATACTTGCAGCAAAAGTTGCAGATACCTAAGAAATGAGCAAAAAAAGATATATATAAAATTTATTTTATAAATTAGATTACTAAATAGTATTTTAGATAATTTCTTATTGCTACTTTTGATAAAAAAATTTCGACATTCAAATACACATTACAATATTATATTGTCATCCTCATGATAAAAATAATATATACATACCAAACCATATGCTAGCGATCTTTGATTTTCTTCCGTTACATCTGCGACATATGCAAATACCACTGAAAATGTGCAGGCAAATACGCCGCTGATGGAAATCATGGCAAAAAACCACCATGTATTAATGCTCATTAGGGGAATCGGTGCACATGTGAAGGCCACTGTGATAAGTAGAAAGAATTTTCGACCCCATACATCGGACAGGGCACCGATCAGTGGCGCAGAGAGAAAAGATAAGATTCCTTTAATTCCCATTATCAAACCATTCATCAGGAACGTGTGATCCGGAAATGTTTCGTTCAATACCGAAATAATAGGCATGGTCAATAATCCCCATGCGAAGAATTCCAAAAATATTACAACTAATGCATGATACACGCTCGCCTCGCCCACACCAGAACTCTGAAAAATAACAATACAATAGCATATTACATACATTTCATAACATTACATTTTAATAAATTATGAGATAGCGCCTTTAATATGAGTATAGCAATTGTATGAATTAAATTTTAAACGGAAATGAAGGCCTTCCGCATGTCATAAGCGATATTTATGATATCTTAGCGGCTGACCTTGAGATGTCTGTAGCATTGTTGAACAAATGTAAGAGGAGGTGTAAGTTTAGCTATAGCATGATCTTGATTATTATGTATCTCAGAACAGGACGGGCCAAAGCCCTCTGTTCCGCCGTTTGCCCCAGGGGGCATGACCCCTAAGAAATGTTACTATATATATTTCTTTTCATATTCACATTCTAATTGACGCTTTTGTCATTCTCCACTCATGCGTATGCGATAAAGAAATAGACAATCTTCTCTTAATATAATATTAGTACACTGTTTCCGCATATCAGTTTTATGCTAAATTTTAATTCGTTCTTCAATATTATTCTCAGTTTATTTGTTTCAATCATTGATTTGATTCGATCATTGTTTTCATGATTTTTCATAACTCTTTTAATATAATGTCCAAAATATTGCACTGTAATCGAAATACACTATATATGTACTTTGCTAAATACTTTATCTTAATTATTTTGCAAATAACTTCTTCAATTGTTCTGTCATTATATGTACGTTGTTACATTTACTGATATATTACATTTGCATTACAAATGAGATCATTATAAAACTAAAACTGCATATATATATTTTTATTATACATCTTTTTTTCACACATCAAAAAATCAATAACTGTCTATTTACACAAAACTTTGATTAATAATTTCTGTCATAAAACTGTCAGCTTTTTTTTATATATCTCGATTAATTATATTTCTGCAAATATTATCTATATACACATTTTCAATTTTAATAAAAAATATTAATATTCGCAAGATAGATACACGATAAGTCACTGTTGTCAATGTGTATATATACGTGGGTATGTATTCTTCTTGATTTTTAATTATATTTATATGACATATGATTTTTAACTTCCTGTCAATTATCAATGTTTGAACTGTGTTATGGCAGTGCAAAGCTCACACTAACATATTCTTGTCGCATCCTTGTAAAATCTGTACAACAGTAATCTCGATGTATACATCTTACAGCATGTATGTCAGAAGTATCACTGGGATCATATATATATATATATATATATATCTAATCACATTATATAATCAACTTTGTAATATTTTCTATCATTTAGTATACAGTGCCAAATCAAATGCGCGTCATCGGATTCTTGGCAAGTTATGAAATTTATAGATGGGAAGCCTTTAACATAGCTGATATAAATTAGAGTCTAGTAGAATTTAAAGCTGTGCGAGTAGAATTTTTTTTTCCCTATACGCATCGTCCCTTTTCTCTCTGTGACAGATCTTTCCTCATGACGGAGCAGAGATGCGTTAAAGCGAGCAGCATCCCTCTTCCGAGTCCATTAACGAGCGGATTCTCGCACGGCCTTGACTTGGTCGTCGCGATCAGGTGTGACGTCACAGAATTCTACGAACGCGAAAAATTTCGTCGACGACGAGGAGTTCTCGCAAAGCCGTCGACGTTCTCCTCTTTTTCTTTTTTTATTTTTTTTATTTTTTTTTTTCACGTTTCGCGCGGCGATGCCCACGCTATATTTAACATTGAAACATTCTCGACGAGCGTTCTCTGGTCGTATGAGACGATTATCCGTGCCACGGATGGAACTTGGCTTCCTCTTCGTGTCTCTGTCCGTATCTTAAGATCACAGCCGTTTATCGGCGATCGTTTGGCAAGATCCCCGACAATCACATATTTCCAGTCAAGATCCCTCGACGCGCTGTCAATCGCGCGATTCGTTCACATCGTTTGATAATTTATGCGAGAAATCAAACCTCCGCATTGCAACTGCTCCTACTGATCCCCCCCCTTCCTCCTCCTTCCCCCACCCAACCATCTCCCTCCCCTCCCCCCTCTTAGCGTTTTGCCTACACCTCTTCGAGCTAACTCCTGACTCGGCCTAACCTAACAATGGCCAACAGCTGGCGATCGAGTTGACGAATCTCTCGTATAGCGAAGAGAAATTTTTCATCTCGCAATGCATTTTGCGATAATAACATTCTCAGCGAAATTTTCATGGATTATCGGCGCGATTGAAAAAAAAATACATCGCGCAAAAATTGATCGATGCGCGCGACACTTGGCTATTTTTCTATGATGCTCTACACACACACATACACATGTGCGCGCGCGCAATCCTATACACTTACACACATAAGGCGCTAAATGGTAAAAAATAACACACTACGCGTGTGTATATGTATTATATATATACAGGGTGTCCCAAAGCACCCTTGACAACGCTCGTGAGCACGTAGAGCACAGTAAACTGAACAGAAAAGTCCTGTACCATTTTTTTCTATATATATTTTATATTTTCTATATATTTTCTATATATTATATATATATAATATTCTTGTTTTATTTTTCAATTATATAAGTTTGTCAGAGTTTAACTCGGCAAACACAATTCAAGAATCATGTGTTGAGAGAAAACAAGAAGTTGAATAGATAACAGAATAAGAGAATCAGAATTATTTAGCATTGATTATTGAACATGGTATAAATAAATAGCTTGCAAAGTTATAAATAATATTGGTTATAAGAATAAAAATTGTAAATGTAAAAATTCATGTATATATAAATGTGTGTATGCATGTGTGTCTAAATTATAGATAACGCAGTGAAGATAAAAAAAATTATTTTAATCGCTTTGATTTTTCTTCTCATGCACTGGAATTCCTTGTGCGATTAATAACTTTTTACAAATATGGACTAATCAGCTGATAGAACGTCATAATAAATTATGTAAATAAGTTGTACAATATAAAAAAGAAATTATATAAGTACTGGGGTCCCTTTTTTGTAATTATATATTATACATCTTGCTTTGTAAAACAGGAAAACATATAACACAAATTGGAGAACATGTGTAAAATTATATTGCATATGTATGCAAATAAGATAACAATTTGAGACATTTTAAATATAAGTATTTGTTTTTTTAATATAATTCAGGCATATACATGCTCACAGCTCTAATATATAAAGTCTTATCAAAGATAAGAATGTGTAAATATTAATATCTATAGATATTAATATCTCTTTATATCTCTATAACCTGTTGAAATATATCTATGTATAAGGAATATATCACTCTCATAGTCTTTAACTATGTACTGTCTGCCTGGGTATATTTTCGCTCAAATATTCTTTGGATTTAAATAAATTTGCACACAGTGTGAATAAAGTTTTTCATCTAATATCAATTATGTGTGTGCGACCTATGTACGTGAGGATAATAAGACCGAGATAAGAATTTCGATAGATTCTTTCATCATGATCATACACATCGAATGAGTGAGAGAGAGAGAGAGAGAGAAATGGAGAACGCCAGGCTAACGGTTACGAGGTTAAAGAAGTGTCAAAATGATGAGATTTATGAAAATTCTTTAATACCGTGATGACTCCATCCTTCATAATGGACTTTCGGCTTCGTATGATCATGCCCACGACCTTCTTAGAGACCTTGGCAGGCATATTCACGCACTGCGCGCACAAATTCTTTCGCTTCTTCAATTTCATGAATTCTTAGAATTTCGTCGACACGGTAGGAGGCATTGTTCCCGCGACACCGCAGTCTATCGCTATTACGCGAAGGATTACTTTCAGCTCCGAATCTTTCTCATGACGGCATCTACATAATAGTGATGCGAGCAACGCTAAAAGAACAAGCTAACGACTAACGTATTGTCCGCGTGTCTGCGAACTAATACAGACTGCCGTGGATAATCATGAACTATCAACTGTCACGAGATGATCGAGCGTACACGTCGCGATGGGTCGATTTGCATTAGAGTCTAAAGCCCGTATCAGACTACGCATTGAAAATTGAGATTAAAGATTGAAATTTGACCAATCAGGACAAAGAAATTTTAGTTCCTTTTGTTCTGATTAGTCAAATTCCAATCTTTAATCTTCAATTTTCAATGCGAAGTCTGATACGGGCTTTAAAAATTGAAGATTGAAGATTAAAGATTGGAATTTGACCAATCTGGGTATCGATCAAGTAACTTTTTCCCTAGGACGGAAACGTGAAAAGTGAAAAATATTAGCATTGAAATCAATGGCAAAATTTTTCACTTTTCACTTTTCCGCCCTAGGGGAAAAGTTACATGGTCGATACCCTGATACGGCTTAAAGCCCGTATCAGACTACGCATTGAAAATTGAAGATTGAAGATTAAAGATTGAAATTTGACCAATCAGGATAAAAGGAACTAAAATTTCCTTGTCCTGATTGGTCAAATTTCAATCTCGATGCATAGTCTGATACGGTCTTTAGAGGGACTCTAGTGTAAACATACTCTGTGCAAGCCTTGCAATGCTGTGTTCCGATTCCCCATCCGGGTGCACCCGATATTATATGTCACGTATACTATGGGCGCGTTCCACTTAACGACCGCAACGCTCGCGAGCATTATTTGTCTTTGTTTAACATTCGGTGAACAACAAAGATGAAATGATGCTTTTGATGCTTTAGGGTTTCAATAACCGACAACAACACCTCTTATCTGTTCAAGGTGTTGGTAGAGGTGTTAAAATGCCAATGCCCGGCATAGCTGGTCCATCAGATACACTGGGCAATGTTAGATTAGCAGTACAACACATGCACAATATATATACTTACATAAATCATACATACATATATTTTTTCTTACATTAAATATTAATTTCTTTATTATTAAGCAAAATTAAATGGATTTCATGACAAATAAAAATGTTAAAAAAAATGTATACATATATGTGCACTTATAAAAGAATATATATATATATGTGCTTTATTCTAAAACTAAAACTTCTATTAGCTTATCAATTAATGCAATACATTTCTCTAAAATTATCTTGTTTCTACATGATTATTTCACGCATTATTTCTGATTTTTGTTTTCCATATTAGAGTATACCCGATTTATTTGCACAAATTAACTTTTACGTATTCCATAAAGGCACTACATGTACAAAGATTATTAAGTATCATATCGATTGCTTCAGAAACAGCGATAATAATTTTCTGCAAAATGTTGGGTCTGAATTGCTCTGCATGTGCAAGTCCATTACCCATTGCTTCAAATTTGGTTTACTATACTACCAGACAAAGGCAAAAGCCATGAGTAAAATATCTTCTTTATTTTTAGAACGTTTCATTAATATTTCAACCAAAGAGAATTAGATAGAGTGGAAGGTCCCATAAGAGCGTAATGTATTTTTGCGTATACAGTTTTCAGTGCCCTTTTGTGAGTCTGATGCCCTAAGTGTATATCTCACATTCCCGATATTACGCGATATAGAATTCGTATTGATGGAAGCACTCATTTCATGCAATCAATGTCACTTTTTGATCAAAGTGAAATGTGTTACATAATAAATTTTAATAGTTGCGATCGAATTTGAACAAGAAGAAGCTAAGTAATTGGGCATCAGACTCGGTAGATGGCATTGATCGCTGTATACGCTTACCTTCCACTCTATCTAATCCTCTTTGATTTCAACGATTTTAAACAGTTTTTTCAGACATTTTTCATCAATTTTCATATAACTCATATCTTTAAGAAGTTATTCAAAGTCAGAAATTAATGGCAGATTCATGCTCCTAGGACAAGCATCGTTCAAATAAAACTCTATTAATAAATCAGTCAATAATTTTTTTAACTGATTAGCGATAGAATCATCAACATAGTTCTCGGAAGATTGAAATTTGACCAATCAGAACAAAGAAATTTTAGTCCTTTTTGTTCTGATTAATCAAATCCTAATCTTTAATTTTTAAACTTTCAATTTTCAATGTATAGTCTGATACGAGCTTAAGATTGACTACGTTTACATGTCACCCTTAATTGGGTTTAATAACATCCGTATAATAAATAAATAAATTGTAGTCAATAACTACATTTACACGTCATCCGGTTACGGATTGACCAATCAGCTGGCAAGTTGTTTTGCTCTGATTGGTCAATCCGCAACTGTCAACCGTATCTTCGGCCGGTATTCATAGTCCGTTCTTATATTCAAGATCGTCTTAAGTACGATCTTAAGATACTATGCGGCCATTTCATTGGTTGAATGGGATCTTAAGACGACCCAAGACCACACTTAAGACGATCTTGGATATAAGAAAGGACTATGAATACCGGCCCAATCCGCAACTGTCAACCGTATCTTCAACCGTAACCGAGCCTGCAACCTGTAGTGTAATATGGCTTTAAGGCCGGTATTCATAGGCCGGTATTCATAGTCAATTCTTATATTTAAGACCGTCTTAAGCACAATCTTAAGATGTCCTAAACCAATCACAGAGCCGTATTAGCATCTTAAGACATTACTTAAGACGGTCTTGAAATAAGAACTGTATTTGAATACCGGCCATAGTCAGTTCTTATTTCAAGACCGTCTTAAGGCCGGTATTCATAGTCAGTTCTTATTTCAAGACCGTCTAAAGCCCGTATCAGACTACGCATTGAAGATTGAAGATTGAAGATTAAAGATTGGAATTTGACTAATCAGAACAAAAAGGACTAAAATTTCTTTATTCTGATTGGTCAAATTTCAATCTTGAATCTTGAATCACAATCTTCAATGCGTAGTCTGATACGGACTTTA